GCTGCATTTTCGGAATCAGCGGGAAAGATAAGCCCAGGTAAGCGAGAAACTTGGTTCGAAATTTTGTCCGGACACTGCCTTTAAGCGCTAGCGGATCCCAATTTACCATAGGTTTTCTTGAGCGTGCATTTGCATTACGCCAAGAAATATCGAGTACTTTCGTAAATATCAAGTGGTTTTCAAGAAAGGTTTTTGGCTTTCTAGGGTTGATTTCTACCTCAAGGAACGCTGTTTTACACTTAAGATTGCACTTACCTTGCGTTGTATGCCCTCTCAGACATGTTTCCTCAAGTGTTAATAAAATCGTGACTGATAAGCTTCTTTCAAGGATTGTTATGGTTGTCTGAAAGGAAGCTCTACAATGAGCAAAAAGCGATGCTTACAAGAGCGCTGGGTAGGATCCAGCGAACTAGCAATTTGCTGACCACATTGAGTCTTAGTTCTGTGTCAGATCAGATGGTATGTGCTGGTGTCTCTTGTGGCTTTTGAACCATATTCGCATCCACCTACAGGCACTGGTTTTCGTTGAGTCACCGAATGGCAAGCCGTCCGGATTGATTATCGATGTAGTACGTAGAGGTCCGGACTCGCCCACCAAGGTGTCTTTCAGTGCGGTAGGTCCAATGCAGTCATTTTTGAAGCTAAAAGTTTTTACTTTGTTTGCTGCTCGTTGCTTTGGTCATGGCTGACCGCGATACCAGAATGAGAAAAGCATAAGTATAGCGAAAAGAGATATGCTTATTTTACGCATAGTCAGATTGACTATCTCGAACATTTGTGCGTTCTTATAAATTACATAATCACATTTATCATGCACTTTCAGCTCGAATGGGTATCTGTTATATCGAATGCATCTGCTAGAATTTGTTTCAACGTACCCACAAGAACGAAGCAGTCTCACTTTTTCACAGAATTTCTTGCTTCAGTCAGACCATTCGCTCAAAACCTTTTGAGCTGTCCTTTGGTAAGTTGTTGTTGTTGAGTTTATACTGAAGGTGTATATATTCATGTGTTCATGTGCTTCCTCACAACTTTCTTTCAAACTCCTTTTGTAAGTCGTAGCAACATTCTTTACCTCTTTGCTATCATGGTTTTCAAAATACGCATGCTGTTGTATGCATTTCCCGACATACAAGAAAACATACACATACATACAGATAGACATTTGCCGCATTTCTGATAACTAGAAATCAAGAAAAAAGTAATGAGACGCATTTTCAAACATTGTCTGTAGCGGTTCTGTGCTCCTCACAACTATCTATGTGATTATATACATAGCTTATTTACTCGGAGGTATTGCCACAAATTTTCAAACTTTTAGTGCCCTAGTTCTTGAGAAAGACCAAGTACACAATTCTACTTTTATGTACCTCAGCGAGCGTGACATCTTCATCTTCTGTATTTTTCTCGCAAAGTGTCAGTACTGACCTTTATGTGCGTATACACTTATAACCCTTATGTAATCCAAGCAGCTATAGTCTTTCGAAATTGTGGATGAGAGAGCACGTATTTGTCCAAATCTGAGGTTTTTCAGATCTTGATCAATGGAGAAGTACGTGATGGCTCGGAACAACTTTTCAAAGACTTGAAGAAGAAAAAAGCAGATTCGGTGGAAGTGCAGTTGTTCATTGACACATGGGGTGAGTAATTTCTGGGCTGATTTTATATGGGCATGATCATCCTATTTAGAAGACAAAGAGAACAAGGAGAACATATGTGAGACGCAGCAAGCTACCAATCTTCACGAAGTCTCGTTTGATATCGAGGTATGTTTCTCCATTGATTTTTTTAGAATAATTAACGCGCCTATGATTTGTTATATACAGACTGTCTCAAAAAATGGGCACAGTGTTTGATCGTTTATAACTTCCTTGCTTTGATGTCTTTCGCCGGCTTTAAGGGCAGTGTTCACACAGATTTGGAATGCCTCAGTTCCAACACTGAGCCTACTTCGGTAATCTGTTGAGACTAAGGGATCTCGAATTTGCCCGGACACTGCCTTTAAGTATCAGTCTGTAGTGCTGGCTTCAACTTAGACTTACATTATGGAGTGAATCACTTTTCGCTTTTGTACCACAGGATTACGGTCAGAACTTCCAACATATGAACCATTGTGAAAAAAGACATTTGACAAATTTTTTCCAAAAAATCTGGAAAATCGTGTACTAGCATACGCATCCTGGTTCCACTATACATTTTTTGCAAGTGTTTTCAGCTTATTTGATGGTGTAATCACATTTCTGACAAATGCTAGAAACTTAGTGTTATGGTCTACCTAGGATAACTTAGGAAGGAAGCATCACAGTAAAGTAGAAATTTCATATACGAAATCAGCGGTTTTTATCACCTTCGTACAAAAGTTTTTGGCTTGTTTGGTTTTTTTTTTCGAGGCAGAATATGGCTGCTAAAGACCTAAAATCCAATGAAGATTGATCGATAATTTGCTACATACTATAAATCTGAGTTGACGCCAGCACCACAGAATGGTACCAAAAGGTCGGCAAAAGACATCAAAGCAAGAAAGTTGACATTGTTGATCAGACAGTGTGCCCATTTTTCATTGGGACACACTGTATGTATTTGTGCTTTCCAATTCAAACGGATATATCATAGAGTTTGAATCTGGGAGGATTCCTCATGTACACTTTGATTACAAAGCTTTGGCTAAGCTCTCAGAAGGCATCTCACGTGATTCATATGACTTATTGTTAGAAATTGGCCGTAAAATTCAGAAACTATGTTCTTTGTGGATGAAACAGCATTCTCAAACAGGATATACTGTTGGCTTGGGCAGGGCCTTAGAGTTGCTTGTTCCACAAATAAATCATATACCTAACTTGCCGCTTGTGCAAGAAATCAGTTTAAGCCTCTCAATCAGTTTCTTAGCCAGTCTAGGCACCCGAAATCCAGAGAAATTCGGGTGCCTAGATTGGCTAAGATATGGCCAGTCTAGCCGTTTGTTGGTGTGAAGCTCATGTTTCTTCTTCAGATTCGTGCTGCTGTACCATCTCGATCGAAAGTAGAAGCAGTTGTAGATGCGGTAAAGCACCATTTGCTGAGAAGCTTGACTGCAAGAGCAGGTACTCCCTTGATATCTTTTTAACTCGTTCAGTTGTATGTTTTAGAGCTTCAGTACGAATCAATGGATATTGTCGAGGAAGGCAGTGCAGCGCCATGTTCTGTGCATCAAATGCCTCGACCGGCTACTACAGTACTTCCCAATCATCCAGCGATCCTCCTTTCGGATTATTTGTTTGAGGCAGACACCACTGAAGACGCTCAAAAGAATTTTGACGAGCTACTGGGGTTGAAAACTAGTGTCGGTGAGTTTATTATCGGAAAGCTTCCTTTTGACAGTTCAGGTTCTAAGCTTGTACGCTCCCGCTTAGGCGCTAAATTGCATATTACACTAGCTGGGATACCCGGCTCCGCCCGGTCCAGTGAGAAC